AAAAAAAGAAACATGGCTCATTTGAAATGTTGCAGAAATTATTACACTATATTTTGTTGGCATTTCAAAACAGAATGCTAGAAGAACACTAAAAATCCATTTCTCAATTAACTGCAAAACCAGTGGTACATTATTATTTTTACTTCCCACTCTAAATTTAACATTTTTGTTTATATTTTTAAGAATGGGGAAATCTGACTGAAATGATTAACTTCATCTACATAGGGATTTATCAACTGTATGGCTGCCTGTAATTATAGGTCAACAGATTGCTTTGTGTCATGATTTTGTGACCCTTGCTTTAGTTGTTGTGTGAATCTTGGTTTAGTTGCTAAGTAAAAAAAAATAGTATTTCTTCATTAATTTAAAATGCTATCCTGACTTTTCACCACCAAAGTCTTCAAGGCAGCTTACATTAAACTAAAAATCACAATAATAAATACAACCAAGACAGAACTATAATTTCTACCTATTAGTCCTTGACAGGCCTTGTCACTTGTCAGCTCTGCCGATTTGAATAATTCACATTTATTACAAATGCACATGCTAAGGTAAAGATGAATTCACCATTGTAGATTAGCAGTTATAACACTGTCGTTGAGCCAAAACACTCCATAGGTATCATCCAAATTTCACTGTGTGAATTTTTGATGTGGCAAATACATTATCTAAGGATTATATTAGTACCTTGGATGTCAAACAGCATGGCTCCCAAACAAATTGGCTCCCGAATACTGCAAACCTGGAAGTGTGTGTTCTGGTTTGCGAACGTTTTTCGGAAGCTGAACATCTGACGCAGCTTCTGTGGCTTCTGATCGAGTGCAGGTAGCTCCTGCAGCCAATCGGAAGCAGCTCCTTGGTTTTTGAACTGTTTTGGGAGTCAAACGGACTCCCAGAATGGATTAAGTTCGAGATTCAAGGTACTACTGTACCTTTCGCTGTACAGTGGTACCTCGGGTTAAGAACTTAATTCATTCTGGAGGTCCGTTCTTAACCTAAAACTGCTCTTAACCTGAAGCACCACTTTAGCTAATGAGGCCTCCCGCTGCTGCCGCGCCGCCTGAGCACGATTTCTGTTCTCATCCTGAAGCAAAGTTCTTAACCCGAGGTAATATTTCTGGGTTAGCGGAGTCTGTAACCTGAAGCGTATGTAACCTGAAGCATATGTATCCCGAGATACCACTGTATAGCGAAAGGTAGCCAGGGTGGTAAGTCATTCATAGTGTGTGCTGATGAAGCTCCTCACTGGCTCTTCCTTTTATCTTCCATTTCCCTCATTGCTAGCCTGGAAGACTAGCCTATGTTCCTCTAACAGCAATGGTTCAAGCTCCCTGCTAGGGATGGGCAAATATGTCAATTTTTGTTTCTCTCCATTTCTTATTTTTTCAGTACTCAGTGTCCCATGAAAATTCATCAGCATTTTGTGAATGTCTCCCAACATACACATTTCTGTATGCAATTTCACACAATTCTTTTATTTTTTACAAAGCAAATTCCTCTAATATAATTAATTAGTACATGCTATTTTTATGTACACTTTACCCCAGTGCTTTTTTTTTTAAAAAAATGTTTAGGGGTACTCTCAATAAAATCACCATAAATGCTCGCTTCCATCTGAGACTCAGGAAACATCGTGACAGGAAATGAGGCTGCCACTGGGGGTAGCAATGGAACTGATGATTCACCATGCTAGATTCACAAAATGTTTAGGGATATGCGTACACCTGCACCCCCCCTCAGAAAAAAGCACTGCTTTACCCTCATAAATGCGTGTTTTTGCTGGAGAATGGTACTGAAAAATTCAGAGAAATGTGAATTTGAATGATGGCTGTGTTTAGATTTTCACACAGTTTCAGGAAGTGAAAATTTAAGTCGGAAGGAAGTATTCATCTGAGAGGTTTTTTAGAAAGGCCTGGGGAAGGATGTGTATTCTGTCATTCAGAGAAAAGTAAGTCAAAAACCCCCACTAGTTGACTCAAATTGTTTGAGTATGCCTGAACGCAGTCCTTGGCATCTGAGAGGTGTGTCTCTATTGTTTAATAATTTATGTGCATACAACCCAAATACAGAAAATCTATTCAATATATTTCCAGGATATATTACCATAAGTTCCAGCAGACTGAAAAATACAACCCCCTATGTCAGGCTGTTATTCCATTCTATGTTTTGCAGTGCGTCTTCTGAGAGTTGGAAATGGTTCTCTCAGAAGGAGGACTGAATAACTGCGATGTTGAATATGGTTTTGTTGTAAACTCACCACAGGCCAAATACCAAAGATCCAAGGATTAAATTATAGATGAAGCAGGCAGTAAGTTATATATATATCTATTCCTATATAAGCAAAAGTACGAGGAGAAGCTACAAACCAGCACATATAATATACGTAATTGCATCTGGTTTTAGTTGCTTCATAAAACAATCAAGGTTTGAAACGGTGATTTATGAAATGATACCACTTCCCTTTGGTCTCAGTTACCTCTCACCTATGAGAGTGCTGCTCCAACAGCTCTTTAGAAATAATGGAGAAATTATTTTCATTATAAGTCCTTATTCCAGAGTTGTGCCTAGCCTTGATAAGGATAGCTCTACACCTTAAGTTGCCACGTTGAGTGTGGAGGACAGTAGAGGATCACCACACTTTGTTTACGCTGGAGCAATTGGAATAGAGTTTATTCACCAACAGATATGGTTCCAGCCCCTACCTCTGAGGTAAAATTTCACTGAAAGGACTACCTCCATTAGAAACACTCATATCTTAAAAGCTGGATTTTTCTTGGCAAAAAACTACTGCTTTTAATTATTAGCAGCTAGCCTGTGCATATAGCATGAATACTATTTTCTTTTTCTGATCAGCCACCTTCTGAACTTCTTCCCCGCAGCTTTTTTAAAAAGGTACGTTGCAAAGCAGCAAAACCAGACAGCATGTGCTCTCCCCTGCTGCTTTCTGGATCACAACCATTGTTGTTATCCAAAAGAAATAAAAAGAGTAAAACCCAGATATGACACACCATTTAAAAGTATGGTAAAATAACAGTGCATCACATACTGAAGAAAATACGCCAGAATGGACATCTCATTTTTATGGTTAGTGTTACTATTTTATTTTTATTTTTTTTAAAGAGAGATGCAGTGTGAAAATCTGTTCCGCCAAGTCTTGCTGCTATGTTAAGTGCAGTTCTGTTGAAAAGGATGGTGCATTGAACTATTAGTGAATATCGGTCTAATTGGATCTTATGACTGAATATCTCAGGGCCCAAGTTATATTGTGAACCCAGATGGGGTGGCAGCTGATCAGGGATGGGGAATTTGGCACCTTCTAGTGGTTGCTACAGCATCCAACATCCTTGACCATTGGCCATGCTGCTTGGGACTGATGAGAGATCAATTCCCAACCACATCTGGAGAGCCACTAGTTCCCCTGTCCTGCATTAGGTTCATGTTACTGTGGCTCACTGCTGAATATGTACATCCTTTCTTTCTCAAATCTCCTGCCCCAGCTGCTTTTCCCCTAGCAAGTGAAAATTGCTTTAGTGGCAAACCGCAGAATGAGGGAAAAGTCAGTACCTCCCTAGCATGTGCTCAGTTTTACTTTTATTCTAGGGCTTTGGACAAATTTGTGAGCACCCGCACTGAACCCCGTCCCAAAGAATGAACCCAGAGACCGAAGTATGGGTTCAAATTGGCCATAACTTTATTGAACTTCAGAATGTGGGAAACTTGACATAGGCCTTGGCGTGTAACCCTCTCAGCCTGTCCGGGACTGAGGATGTGGAGGGCAGTGAGGTGCAGTTGGAGGGGACTGTAAAGCACAAACTTACACAGCTTGCCCTCCCACCTTACCTCAGCCGGGAGTTTGACCTACATGCCGCCACTCTAGGGCCAGGGACTCCCTCAAACAACCCTTTAATGGGCTCTGCAAATGTCGCCGTGTGGGGGTTCATGAAATGCCTCCCCCCAACTTGAAGATAGACTAAAGTATACCTTGCCAAGGCCCAAAAACTGCCACCCGAGGCCCTAAAGGGCCTCGCTGCCAAGAAACCCACAGCTGAAGAACAAACACCTGTCCACCCAATCTTTGAACCCTTGGCACAGGTCATGCAGCCAAATCTCATTTCCCTGGGGGGCCTCTTTCCCCTGGCCCTCACCCCACCCCCCTTTGGCCATCCATTGTCCTCCCAGGACAGGGATGGGACAATAGCCACCCTAACCCAGGTGGGAGGCACCAGACCAGGCAAGCCCACTCGGTGTTGCAAACCCCGCCCACCTGTTGGGAAGGGAGGGCGGAAACTCTGATCCCAAACCATTGGGTGATTTTGGTTAATCCAGAATTTGCCTGGAGTAAGCCAAGGCAGCTCCAGATTGCCCCCAGAGTTGTCCACCCAGAGCAATCCAAGGATTCTAAAACAGGGACTCATAGAATGACTGCGTACTTAATCATGGTTTTAAATGTGGGGAGAAGTAGACACAGGCAGAGATTTTGATTTTCTCCCACCACATGTTTTTAAATGGTGGACTTTTACAGGGGAAGAAAACTATTGAGAAATTGAAGATTAGGTTTTGGCACAGCACTATTCTTAACACGTGGGTCATGCCACTGTCACATCAAATTGACCCTCAGTTGTGGCAAAGCTTGCGGGAAACAGTACACCAGTAGTTGTTACATGCCAATGTGTTCAGGATACACTGAATTATTTGCTGAGATTTTCCTCCCATTTTGCTGTATAATACAAAGGGAGAGAAATGAGTTTAATATCAACAGAGTGCTTTTGTGCTTTCACCTATAAATAGCTGACTGCACATTTCAGCACCCTCTTTCACTGAAAAAACATCTATTACATACACTGCTTTTAAGTGATATGCTTCTTGATTTACAGAAATGGGAAGAAACTCACCCACTCTAACTTGCTTCTCCCTTTTTTTCCTCTGCTGGAAAGAGTAACTCAGTAAAGCAACAGTTTTATATGGTCTAATAGAACAGCTCAACAAATTAATTCACTAAAGCTGAATAGCTCAGTTGGTTAGAGAGCATGGTGCTGATAATGCCAGGGTTGCAGGTTCGATCCCCATATGGGGCAGCTGCATATTCTTGCGTTGCAGGGGGTTGAACTAAATAGTCCTCAGGATCCCTTCCAACACTATGATTCTATGAAGTTTTTGCCCCATTTCAGGGTCTCCTTTGGTGGAGGTGCAGAGCTCCTGAATGAGCAAGAGCTTCTCATCCACCTCAGCAATGGGAGATACAATATACCTCCTCAGGCATCCATGGCAAGTGTGTGAAGGGGCTCTAATGAATGGGCTGGGTAGTCCCATTGCATCCATTGACCACACACCCTCCCATGGCAACACACGCCCAACAGTAGAAGGTCTTCAGGGATCAGCACCTGCCAGGTGCTTGAAAGAGGTGTTGGAATCTAGGGAGCAGGCTTATCTGGCTTATTCTTGAGAGCCTCTTTATGTGTGGATGTCAAGTGTCTGAAGAGAGATTGCACTGATATACCAACCATCAGTAGTAGCTGGCATAGCAGCATGGGTGGGGCTGCATAGCTGCCCTGGCTTTGCATAGCTGTGCTGCTGGTTGTGGTTATCAAGAGGGGCACCACGCTCTGCTGTCACACCTGCATTGTGCTGAGCTCCCTACTGCCTTGCCCCTCTCTGTCAGCAACTGGCTGGGTAACAAGGAGTGGTGGGAGGCAGCAGTTGGGGAACCCCCTGTGGGAGCCACTGAGTGGGAAGGCTCAGAGCTTGGGGAGTGGTGGTGGGACACTGAAGACAGGTCAGAGGATAAAGGGGGGAGGAATGGCTGGATACTGAAGAGGCAACAGGCTGTATATATGTATGTATGTATGTATGTATGTATGTATGTATGTATTATAAGCAATGGATTACTGAGAGATTTAATGATAGTGAAGTTTAGATAATAAAAACATATGTATTGTAGAACAGCTTGTAAAAAGAAGTAAAAAACAAAGGAGAGGCGGGAAGAATTTTTTGCTGGAGAAAAAGTATATTACAATAAATGTGTTGGAATATTTTTGAAGATTGAATAAAATTTTTGTGCGTGTGTATATAATTAAATTTGTATACTGCCCTAAACCCATATATCCCATAAAATCATAACATGAAAAACAGAAAAACAACAACAACCAAATAATCCCCCTTACACAACACTTATTAGATGATGATGATGATGATGATGATGCTCATCTGATGGGGTTGCCCCAGCCACTCTGGCCAGCTCCTACCAAAAAATAGTAAAAACACAATACAACATCAAACACTAAAAAGGGCATTGGATGTCAGTGAGTCAAAGGCCTGGTTAAAGAGGAACGTTTTTGCCTGGTGCCTGAAGGTGTATAATTATAACGAAAGGGCAGAAAGCAGTTCAGACCTTGCAGATGAAGCCAAGCAGGAGAGAACAGAGGCTGTCTCAGGAGCTTGCCATTCCTACTGTACTAAGCTGCCTTCTCCCCCTGTCTCCAAGGACACAGAGGGCTATGCATGTAGCACAACAAAGAGCACAGGTCCCTCCCCTTGCGTAGTTTGAGTTTGCTTGGGAAATGTCTGACTGAGGAGGAGGAGATGTGGAAGGGAAGCTGAGGCAGAGACCTTCATTTCTGGCAACTGTGTTGTAGAGGCCAGTCCTGTCTGGAGGCCTCTCTGTGCTGTATGCTGTTGTCTTGAGTAAAGAGTTAACTTTTCCACTCGTCTCTGTATCTTGAGTGCTGACCTGCATCTGAACCAGCCCTGACACTTTCCCTCTCAGTAACCAGCAGAGGCACATGGGCTTGGGATGCCTGGTCAGCAATGCCTGCAGCACCTGCTACTGCCAACAGTGCACACTAGCACAGCAGTTTCTAACACGCAAGAGAATGCAGAGAAGCATTGCATCAGAGCTAGCTGAGGTCAGGGCAGAAGGCGACCATTCCAGATTCTAGATCTGGGATGAGAAACTGCAGACTCTCCTAGCGACTGTTTCATGGACAGTCCCCAATTTACAGAAGCCATCACAGTTTCTGATTTGACCTTGGAATGTCCCACCTTTCCTTAGGACATCCTTATTTCAATCAGAGAAATGTTGGAGAGTATGGTAGGATGTCCCTATTTTAATCAGAGAAATGTTGGAGGGTATGAACTTGTGGCCCTCCAGATGTATTTGGTTATATTAACTTCAGCCAATGGTGCTCAGTCACTGAAGTATCAACATTATGAAACATGCTTATCACATATGAATTTACACCAACAATTCAAGTCTGGCCAGCAACCCACTTCAGTCCCAATTACCCAGGAATTTCAAAGAACTGGTGTTTTCCATCCTGCTGTATTGGTTGACGCCTGTTCTGCTGCTCTTGCATTTTTGTTTAGTTAACTGATGATTTTAACAAAGTGTCTATTACTTCAAGTTGTGATATTTTATGTAACTCACTCTGGGATCATTTGGTGAAGGGCAAGCTGTAAGTATTACTAATAAACTCTGCCTGCCAATTGCAGGGCTGATATTGTACACCCTCACCTCTTTTTATGCTTGAAGAAGTTTCTGCAGCCAGAGCACAAACATTCTCAGGTGTTTCAGTAAGCAAGGCTGCATTTACACTGCAGTTTATTCTGTTTTCCTGAAGTTTCTGTAACTTACATTTGAGCTTTCACGTTTCCAGAAAAATAACGGAATGGAATGGAATATAATGCAAGGTGGAATATAATGCAACTCATTTCCATGTTATTTGATTCTTGAAAAATTCCATTTGTGGCCTCTTCAACTTGGAAAACCATGAGAGTTTTACATGTCAATTTTCTTGCCTTCTCCATGGGTTCACGCTGCAGCTGCTCACAAGATGAGCTGTGAGGTACATGCACTACACTGTCTGACTATTTCAAGGCTTGCACCCTGTTTTGGTTTTGCTTGATGAAAAAGCGTGCCAGTATTTTGGCACAGAAAGTCATGCTGAGAAGGTAAAGTCTAGAAGAATGGCAGAATGTAGAGAGCGAGAGGGAGGGGGGACGGCATAGATGAACTGTATGTGCAATTCATATTTACCACAACATGGCAGTGTAGTAGTCAAGATGTGATGGAACAGGTGTGTGCTGTGTGAAAGGAACAAGAGAAGACAAGACAGAAGCACTAGCCTTATAATCAGTTAAACTATTGCAGTAAACCCCATGTGTGACTGTAGCCAAATATTCCAGTCTCAAATGCTGAGACCCTAAAGCTGTCTTGACAGAGCTTTGGTGCCCAACAGCATAGTGTATCTTGCAGACCACCATGAGCATTTCAGCTGTAATGAAAACTCATTTTTTCAGCTGTTCACAATGCTTCTAGATTACTCTCTCATAATGCCTCTGCCATCGTGCTGGAACATGAATCCAGTGTGAGAAAACTAGAGTCCAATGAACCTGAATATTGAAAGAGTTTCAGGACAAGGACAAAGGAAAGTACTTATTCACACAGTACAAAAAACCCTGAACTTCACTTGCAGAAGAGGTAGTGATGACATCCAATTTAGAAGACTTTAAAAGAGGATTGGAGGATTTAATACCTCCCTAAGACCCAGTGTGGTGTAATGATTAGAGTGTTGGACTATGACCTGGGAGAGCAGGGTTCAAATCCCCACTCAGCTATGAAGCTCAATGGGTGACCTTGGAACAGTCAGCATATCTTAGCCTATTCTACCTCACAAAGTTGCTGTGAGGATGAAATGAGGAGGAGGAGAACCAGGGATTGAACCTTTTATGGTCCATTCACCTTATCATTGTCTAATATGGATATGATTCCAATAATATTACTTCAAATATGCATTTTTGTTTTCTTGTCTCTTTGACAACAAATGTCCCCAAACTGTTTGCTTCATCTTTGCACTGCTTTTCATCTTCAGTGTTTATTAACATAAATACGAAATAAATCTCCTGCTTTGATTTCTGACAATTTGAATGTCTTTTATTGAAGTGAGCAAGTTGTTGGCAGGATAAGGGACTGTTTTGTACAGCTGCCTTTGAACATGTTAAGAGCACGAGTGCTATCAGATGATAATTTAAGGGGAGATGTATCTTATCTTTTTTTTTTAAAGGACACATTTCAAAATTACTTTTCAAAGTATCAAGCTACAAATGGAAGTGTATCTGAAACATCATATGAAATATTAAAAATCCTCAAAGTGAAATGCCAAATATATGTTTAAACCTGCATAACTGACAGGGGAACAAAATATTAAACATAAAAATAGAGATAAAAGTAAAAGACAAAAATATGATACAACTGAACAAAACACCATCATTAATAACTAAGTAAAATAACAGAATTAGAAGCTGCATCCACAATGTATAGTAATTTATCTCAAATAGATTCTTAGAAATCATCCACATAAAAACCTCATTCTTTCACAGTCTCACCAGCCATACAGATCTCACAGTTTATCCCCAACCAAAAGGATCCAAAGAACTGCAGTGACTGTTGTCCCTATGGTTCTTCTCCTTCTCCTTTTCCTCCTCACTTTCTTTTCAGCATATATACACAGCCTTGCTATAAAAAGCATGTAGAAATCAAGGGTACAACCTTGGATAGACCAAACAGGAAGGGAGGAACAGTAGTATTATATGTAAAGGATGTGTACACTTGTGAAGATATTCGTGGCCTCACACATGGAAGACAGATTGAGTATATACGGGTTAAAAAAATGTTACATAGGGAAACAACAGTTACCTTACTGTGAGTGCCTGCTATAGACCTCCAAGCCAGACTGAAGACTTGGATGAAGCCTTCCTAGAACAGATTACCAAATGTTCAAAAAGGAGAGATAATAGTAGCCATGGGAGACTTCAACTACCTTGATATCTGTTGGAACTCTGCCAAGAATGTAAGGTACAACACATTCCTCAATTTCCAGTTTTAAAAATTGGCTCAGTTCTGTGGGCGTGGGCCTCTTCTTTGACCTTGCTGGCTCATGCTACTTCAGCTTATAAAATTGGTAATGACTTATGAAAATAACCACTGAATTTCCCCCTTTAAATCTAAACTTTTCTGCTATACTTGCCTGCTTTAACACCAGAATCTACCCTGAGAACTGTGGTATATGTAAGAAGAGTATGG